CAACAGTTTGTGCTCTGCCAAACGCAGTTACCACATGCTTGAAATTCAGGCATGTCGAGGCCAATGCATTGCACAAAGGGGCCTCTGCCGCTAGCACATTGAGCGCACTGCTGCGATTGTTTCCGGACGAGGCCTGTGGCTTGGATGATGGCGCCTTTCCACTTGTCTTCCGCCTCTCCGAAGGCCTTCATGTCGTCCTGGCTGAATATGATGCCATCGCGGAGCTGGACAGGTCGTTTCTGAGGTAAGCTGGACAGATATATGACGATTCTATTGCTCGATACGAGGCGGTTCACCGGTCCAACAGTACGACCCGATGCGTCAATGATCATGGTCAAGGGAGGTTGGTTAGGTCTGACATGACTGGGGATCGTTACGGCGGCGCCATTCCGATGCTCTCCGTTGGTGTTCATGCCATTGAGTCCAGCACTGGCGACCTTGCTTAGATGTGACGCTTCAATGTGCGCCGAATCGCGCCGCGGGGCAGCGCCGGCGAGGGCTGCAGCTGCAATGCTAACACGTTCATCATTGTCTTTCCGGCGTTGCTCGTCGAACCAGACAGCCAACTGCCTCTGGTGATGTTCGCGCTGAATCTTCATATCCTTCCTGGTGTTTTGGAACCTGTCGTTGAGCTCTTCAAGGTGCTTGTGTTCCCGGGTAATGGCGCGGTGAACTTCGAGGGCACGTCGCTCGAGCTCATTCTTCTCCAAGTTTAGCTCGGTTAAGCGTGCCATGTAGTACTTGGCATTGTTGAGATACTCTTTGTCGAGGTTTTCATCGTCTTGCTCTTGCAGCCGGCGCATAGACTCCCAGTATTGCTCCTCCTCCTGGGTGACAGGCCTCCTGTCATCTCCAGGATCGAAAGGCATGGTGAAGGCGCCCCAATTGGCAGGGTAGCGGTGGTGGTGATGGTGAGCAGATGAAAAGGGCGGGTTTTGAGGGGAGGTGTGAGTGAAATGCGTCGATAAACGCAGCAGTGCGGTTCATCCAAAGTTGGAGACACGGGGCGCGAGCTCTCGAGATCGGTCGGGCAGAAAATCGAGATTACTTGAGCACGAGGGTGCGACCGTTCCAAGCAAGACTGGGGTTTCGCATTGAAGGAGATGGAGAATCTTGAATGGAAATGAAATGCGGCGACAGTCCGACCAGGGGTGTGAACTGTGTGGATAAGCCGAAGATGTCGCGAGCGTCGATCAATCCGCGGCGACCTTGGGTGTGTTATGCCGGCGCTATGGCCTGTGAGCCTGTGAGGTGAGGTGCTGTCGAGATTCGTGTGTGCCTGTGTGGGATGCGATGCAACGGGAGAGGGGTTCTGAAAGTCAGACCGGGGATGGTAAAGTTAGGTGAGGTAAGTTAGGTAGGTATCCGTAGCGGGAAGTGTAATCCACGTAAAGGGTCGGAAGGAAATAGCCGACGGGAGATGAAGACGTAAGGAGACAGTTGGAAGTTTGGTTGAAAGTGAGGGTGAGGTGAGGGTGAAGACGGGAGATGAGGCGATAGCGTCAAAAGATACGGATAGGAACTTGACTGCAACGGGTAGCGGGATGTGGGTGAGTGAGACGTCAAGCGACGCAGATTTGGAGGAAGGTGGCTGCTAGTGTGCTGTACGACAGTCCCAAGTCCCTAGGTGGCCGTATCGAAATCGAAATTCCGAGCAATAGAAAGGTAGCGCGGGTGGGCAGGGGACGAGAAATGGACTAATGCACTTAGTTGGCTGAGGTGCGTCGATGTCGTTGAGGATAGGCGGATTATAGGCCCGGTGGAATTTGGCGATAGGCGGATACCTTCAAGCACGCGGTCGGAAAATGACAATGGGTGCTGGTCTGGGTCGACGGCTGAGATGGGTGAGCGAGACAGGCCGGGAAGTGATGGGCCGGATTCTCGAGGGTAGAAAAGGTCCGGGGTTGCAGCCCAGTGATGATTTGCTGTTGTAGATGCGGACAGAAAGACGTGATGCGATGCGGGTGCGAATGAGATTGGATGGTTCCTTGGGAGAATACCTAGGTGAGTAGGTAGTCGACTGCACCAAATTGAACCTCAGCCGCTGTTGGAAGACGATTGATTAGTCGTCAGGGAATGAGTATCGCGTGTTTGCACGTGATCTGGCGCAAGAAAGTAGACGCTTACTCCCCTGGGCCGACGCAATGGAAGGGATGAGGGAGGGGTGGGCAAGATAGTCATTCGTGTATGTATACGTAGAGTACGAATAGATAGGGAGTTGGATTGGGGGGAGGTGGGTGTGTGTGTGAGGTAAGGTACCTTATTGTGCGATGGATGATGGGGCAGACTGCAGACCGGGTCTTAGAGAAGTTGCGCGTTGGTCGGTCGTCGGCTGTTACGTGCTGTCCGATTATCGACAATCCCCTGATGGACTGAGTCGGTTGCGGTAAATGTTTTGTCTGGGGAGGGGAAAGCCAAGCAAACAGGACCCGGGCTTGAATCAGATCGAATGCGTGGTGGCCTTGTTTAGAACCTAGAAAGATGTACTCCGTACCCGGGGGGGGAGAAAGGGGGCCTTGTGTGAGGGAGAAGGAAAATTTCAACAAAATGAAAGAAAACGCCGGGACAATGGACAATAGCTGGCACCTTGGTCCATGGGCTAGGAAAAGCAGCTTCAATTTGCTTGCTTCCCCTGCTTTTCTAGTCCCTGAGGCACCTATTCCTATCATGCATCACACCTACCTAAGTACCTTACCTTGCGGAGGAGCTAAGTAGATAATCAAACAGATGGCCACCTTCACAAAAGGTAATCGATGCCGATGGACGGATAGAATCCGCACATAGACACAATAAGGTAAAGGTACGGAGTACCTCAGATGCATACCGAAATAGTCGGCCAGCTCAAGCACTATTCGTATGAGCGTACTCCGTACATAGGCACACACTTGCCTCAATGTTGGCAAAATGGCAGGAACGGACTGCCAGTTGCCCCCACCGGCACATGCACAATATTGAAGAGGAGGCCAATCGACATTCACTGCGTCCTTCCCTTGTTCTATCTTCGGGTGCAATACCCTGCTAGATGGTATCAATAGTTGAGGTAACCTAAGCTGATACGAATACCTTGTCACTTACCTAGTATGGAGTACTTAGGCACTTAAGGTAGCGCTACAAAGTACGGAGTACGGAGCACCTTAAGGTAGGTAACTTGAGGCGCTGTGTTGGCCCATGCATTGTGCATGTACCTTTTCAAAGTATTTTCCCCAGTCCCTCGTGCCTCCCTAGCAGACATTGTTCGACATGGAAATCCGGACAAGTATTGCGCAATCGGCAGAATGCTCAAGGTAGGTACCTACTTACCTAGGTACGCATGGATGCAGACAGAGCTCCTTAGCCATCCTATGCGCAACACCAACTCATTCCCTCAATCATGTTGATAGCACTGCTTTGGATCGCTCCAAGGAACCGTGTCTCATGACAATTGAAATCAATTACCTAGGTAGGTACGGAGTACTCAACCCTATTTTACATCGTCACACCTAGACCACGTGATTGGATGCAAGTGCGAGGAAACTCAGGAAAGCCGCCTAGCTTCAGGCTAGCGCACGCCGATAACAGATCCGATGTACCCGATAAGGCACCATGACCTGGGTGCCTGGGTCCCCTCCACCTCTTAAGATACTTACCGACCTCGTCCCCTCCTCCAATATCAAAACCTCCAAGTTCCAGCTTAGCCTACCTGCTCAACCGTTTAACCGCCTGAACTGATGCCATGAGATACAGACTCCCGACACTGACCGGCAGAGTCATGTGCTGCGATTGGTTACCATCTGTACGAGTTACATCCGGTGTGCCAGTACGGATACCTTTCTCACTTCACGCACATTAGCTAAAAACTTCACTCGGCCTCGTTTCCGTGTTCCGGTCTCCGTGCATCTCAGACTGGGGACTCCACCTCCACTTCCCACCCCTTCCAATCCAAATCCTACCTTGAAGACACGGACGCAGATCGTAAAAAACCTTCTTTTTTGTTAACTTTTTTATTCAAGCCTGTCAACGCTTGTCTGTCCGTGTATCCGTATCTATATTCCCCTCCCCCCCAAGCCTCCAAGCCCGAGCCTCTCGCGCTGCTCGGGCAGTGGATGCGACTTTATCTTGCGGGCTGGGACATTGCTCGCTTGTTGCTCCTTGCCTTCAAGGTTTTGTCCGGGGTCCTCGCGGACTACATACGCATCTAATTAGCCCCCCAACGGCGGACCATCTGTTATGCTTCACCTTGATTGACCATTGAAGTCTTTTCAAAGCTTGATCTAAGCTCATGCCAAATTTGTCCCCCTTTCCTGTTACTATCACGTGGATGGCAGGCCAAACCCAATATAACCTTCGAGTCAAGCTGCCACATATACCCTTATTGCAGAGTCACATAGTGTCTACACATGCCAAGACATCGCTGCCTCAACTTGTATATCCGTACAAACTCGGAACGAGCCAGGTAGAACCGTAGAATGATACGTTTACCGGGACAAGACTTCCTCCGTCTCATCTTGCGCTTATACTGGCCTCCCCGGTGAAGGACCACGCGGCTTGCATTCCCTTCCGACCCCTCCCCTTGTTCGTCTCCTCTAGCTGACGACTCGTAATCTCATACCAGGCGCGCTGAAATTGCTCTATCTTGATTGAATTAAACTATGTACTACTGACACCCGTGGGCATCGATACCTATACGTGCTAATGTTATTAACCTATTCGCTGTTGCTGATTGCTGGTTGATCCTACAACCAACCGACCCCGCCGCCTCGGCCGCCCGCCTCAACCCAAAAACTCAAAATCGGCCGTGTCTCGGGATGCAGCCCGACCTGTAAAGACAGTTTTTACCCCCAAACGCCATTGTGATTCAATGCCCAAGTCGTCGTCATCCCCAAAGTAACACAGATGTCCGAAAAATATTTGCTGCAGATCGGCAAGAGCCGGACTCCTGTCGTGAAATTTCGCCGTGGAAAACGCCCATTCAATGTCTAGACGTTGTCATGCACATCCTCGCCGCCAACCTCGATGCCGCATTAGTACCTTGCGGAGTAGCGTGCCGGTGCTGGAGAGGGCGAGTAGGAGTGATCGTATCCACCAGCGTGGTTGTAGGGGTCGTTGTCATAAACAGTCGCTCGACGATCCTCCTCTGGCAGCAGCTCCTTGACCTCCCAGTTGTTCATCCTAGTTCCAACTGAGAACTCGAGATCCTCGCGGGTAATTGAGTCCCAGTACTGCAGTGGCGGATCAGTAAATGCCGTCATTTCAAGATTCTCAAGTTTGCATACCTTGTACACCATCATGACACCCAGCAGGTTGCAGATAGTGGCGAAGAAAAGGCCGTCGAGGTAGTGGCTGACGGCGGTGCAAATCTGAGTGCTCACGGCGTACAGGATCACTTGGCCAACGACGAAGAAGAATATGCCAAAGGCGATGTCACCCAGCGGCCAGCGGTCCTGGAGAGTCCTAACGACGAGGAGGATTTGCAGGGCAACGTAGACGAAGAGCTCGATGGCGTTGAGCAAGTACAGGACGACGAACAGGCCGACGGTGTTGGTGGGACCCAGGCCAGCCCATGACTTGAAGGTCGCAAGGGAGACGAGGAAGCATATCGCAAAGGCCACCAGAGAGCAGACGCGCAAGAGCCAGACTGAGAGGAAGGTGCCGTCCTCGTACAACTGGAAGCCGACAAATCCGTTGATCAACAGGCAAGTAATCAGAGCCGATGACAAGCCGTTTTGAACTGACACGAAGTACGGGTAGGGGGCGGATCCAGGGGGAACGACACCTGCGTCGACGCAAAGTGAGATGAAACTCAGAAGCATGTAGATGTAGAAGAACATGAGGATTTCCTTGCGACCTATTCATGTTTTGTCAGTACTTCTGTCAGAAATGAGGGTTCGTGAAGGCTGACGTACCGACAGCAGTGAACTTGCCGCGAATGTGCAAGATCATGACGACGGTCATGAGCAAAGACACAATATGCATGGCGCTGGCGGCACCCTCGAAAATGATGGTGTTTGCCAGCTCGATATTCCTCGCATAGCAGTCCGGCTCAATACCAACGCCGCTCGTCACCTCCGTAATGGGGCCGATGGATGCGCACAATGGCAGCGGCGCCATATGGCAGATGTTGGTGAAGTCGCCGAAGCCTGACATGATGGGCTACGGCCGACCTACGGCGATGAGTCTTTCGGAAGGGCAAATGACGAAATGGAAGCGTCGAATGGTTGGAACGGGGTGCGAGGTATGCAGTTCAAGTTTCCGTCGAGGGTCGTTTGAAGTTCTCGACAGGGGTAATGGCGAAATGGTACTCGAGCGATGGACAGAGTCGAGGCCAAGCGACGGATTCAACGTGATATGGATGGCGTTTCGTCAAGAGTGAGCGAGAGGTCCGGCGAAGCCTGGTCGTATCGTCGCGAACGAAGGGGACGATGGTGCGAATGGACGAGGAATGGATGTTTCGATGGACGTCAAGGGAGGTCACTCGGATGGAGGGCGGGCGGGCTGATCGTGGAGACGAGGCGTCGGGGGTCCGTGACGGGAGATGGCAATAATCAGGAGTCCGAGTTCAAGAGCGACGGAGAGAGGTTTTTTTTTTTTTCTTGGAGAGAGTTCTTGTCGACGACGATGACGATATTACGGAGGCAGCGACGACAACCTAACTGTGAAGGTGGAACGGAGCGAGGGTGCGGCAACGAATGACTGAACAAGAACCTGATTCTGATGAACGGGCTGGTGGTTGGGAGCGAGTGACAGTGAACGGTTGCTGTCCGACGACAAGCTGAAGCTGAACGGGGGGGACGTTGGAGCAGCGTTGCTGTGGAAAAGGGAGAAAAGGAGCCCACTCTGGGACACTCTGAGGCCCTGCAGGTGCAGAACAAGCGCAGCAAGTGCAGGAATCAAAGTGTACAAGTGCCAGGAAGGGGCGGGCAAGCGGGCAAGGCGGGTAGCACAGCAAGGAAGGAAGCACACAGCTGGAAGGAGAAGGGTCGAGGGGACCACTGGGAAGGTAGAACGCTCTCTCGTAAGAGGCGCCTTCCCGGTCCAGGAACGGGACGGAGTGGGGCGAATGGCAATCTTTGCAGGTCAAAAGGTGGCTGGTGGCTTTCGATGTTCCCCAATTAAATACAGCAGAATGCCATTCTTTCCGGCCTCTGACTGGCTATCTCGTGTTCCTCCTTCCCCCCTTGGAGCGTTGAAATGTGTATTCTCGGCAAATTATCCCAATTTAGCAGCATCACCCCTGCCCAGTCCACTGAAGCGACGTCCATTCTTCCCCGCTAGCTCGAACACGAGGCCCTGTCGCCCCGTCTGGCAAGAAGTGTAAGCAGGACAGATCCCCGTTGTTGCCAGTTGCCCAGCCACTTTAGGGAGCTTTCATATTGCGTATGTAGTAGAGTGCTTATGTAATTCCTCCCCTTCATTGTCGCATCTCCTCAATTCAATGCCTTCTTCTCTCTGAGACGAGGCGCATTCTGTGCATTCGTCTGGCCTTGATTGCTTCGTATCCATTTCCAAATTCCACCATCGTCAAACAAAGACATCCAGTCGGGTGTGCGACGCGTTGCTCGTCCCTGCGTCAGGAATGGAAAAAAAATCTGACATCGAAACAAGACAAACCTTGCAAAGAACAGCAAACTCCCGCTGTCACTCACGCGGGCACGCACTCTCTCTCCGTCGTCCAGTCAACCGTCGCATAGTTTTCGTCCCATCTTGCCCCAAACTCTTTGCCTCTGCGATAATCACCTGCAAACCGGTTATCAAAAGAGCCAATGACCAAGATGTGCCTACTGACGGTCATGTCTTCATGTCACAATTTGTTGACCTGACAGTCTCAGCGGCGAATCAATGTTGATCAACCACCGCGGCAACCGTCTCGGTGTAGCCCACAACCCGTGCAATACGTCGTCGTCCCAGCTTATTGGCCCAGCCGAACCAACGTCTCAGCCTGATCTGTTGAAACGTCACCCAGCACAACAAAATTGCCCTGAATTACCACAAGTTTTCAGCCTGGGTCTTGGCGCAACTTCACCTCGTTTTCAGATCAGCCTCATCTGACGGATCTCGAAACCTCCCTACACCTCCGACGTTGGTAGTGCCAGCACCGTCAAGAAAGTGCTGTCTGCGGCCCAGCAATGCCTCACCCAAGGCATGGCCTTCAACATCTGGAAGTGAGCGGGCAGGATTTCTCCCGTCCAGCTCTGTGGCTCCTCCTGCTCTGGCCCTCTGACATCCGCGTCACCAAACTCGTCATCGTATTCCAATGACTGTAGTGACCGGTGTTGCAGAAACCGCATCAGAGTTCGGAACGTTGCAGGAGTAAAGTTGGCTTCTTTGATGATGCTGACCGTCACGCCAGCTTGTTCCATTCTCTCCTCCGCATCCCTGGTCTGAAAGTCGGTCCAGTCCACCTCGCTTAGAATCTCCAGCGACGTCAATACATTGGGTAGCACGTTTCGTTGGTGAGCGAGGCTGGCTGGTGCTCGCCTCCAACCCAACATGCCATACACGTTGGCCGCAATACACCAACGAGCCTTGCTGCCGAAGCTGCTCCTTTTCTCATGTCCGTCCGTATCCGCCACGATTCGAAAAGCCTCCTTGAGGCACTGGATAGCGTTGATGGCGCGGTGGATGCGATGCCATTTGGTCAGGCCGAGTAGGAACAGAGCCTTCTTGAACGTTACAGGCATATCGGCCTCCCGATCATTGCCTTGGTAGAGCTTCCTCATCGTCTGGATGAAGCGATCGACCAACGCAGCAATATCAATCAACGACTCCGCGGCTTTCTCCAACGTATCGGCCACCGCGCTCGGCTTCAGCCACAACAAGCTACCCTCCCGCTGCAGCTTGCTATGCAGCAAGCTGGCCATGCAAGCGGTGACCTTGACCGCAGCCCGCTGGCAATCCGCCCTCAGCATCATGATGAGACGGTGCTCGGCGTTTGGCCCGAAGCCTACAAAGCATCGACTGACAGACTCGGACGGGTGGTAATCGATGGTGAGGGTGCCGTAGTGCATCAGCAGGCCCTTGGACAGGTGCTTCTTCTCCTTGACGCGGTATAGCACCCGGGAAGAGCAAGAATCGTTGTCGACCCGGAATCCGTCCCGGGAAAAGTGACCGACGTCGCCAGAGGACAGCGGCATCCAAAAGACGTCGTCGGCCAGGGGGCCCGATGGCTGGTAGAATTTGGACTTGTCTACTGTGAATGTTCCTCGCGGGGCCTCGACGGACGTCCATGTCGTGGCCATATCGATATACGCCGGCGCCAGGCGTGGGGCCATGGCGAAGCTCGAAGATGTCAGACGGCGTATAGGGACGAGATCGTTGGCAGACTCGTTCTTTGCGTCGTCTACGCTCTTTGACCTCTTTAATCTCTTGGATATGCCGAACGTCATCTTGCCGTCCAAGTCTTCGGGATAAGTTGCTGTCGCGTGCTTCCAGTTCCCAGGCAAGCGTTCACTGACACTCTTCGTCTATAGCTCGTTCTTTGTCGGTATTTTAGGAGGAATACGTAAGAGGTGATAGGCTGACTGACAACTCTTGGCTGATATGTGCCTCTCAAGACAAATGATCAACAGGTGGGAGATTTTCACTGCTCTTGAAAGGTAGGCATCGTGCCATATCTTCCCAGCCCCGGATCCATCTCCGATTGCATATTGCATGATAAAGTTCTAGTGGTTGATCAGGGTCCACGTTCATGATGGGCGATTTCACGAGCGATCCGGGCTGGTTCTGAAATCCATCTCCGATGAAGCACATAGCAATGCTTTTCCCAGGCGATCAAATCATCCTCAGAAGGAATCACCTCCTTGATACCCTTCTGGAAACAAGTGATGCTCAAGGTGCCAACATGAGCCTTTCACATGTACCCAAGTAAAGAGTAAGTAAGCTAGGTGAGATTCTCTGGAGTCCGCTCATCTGAATAGATCAGAGACACCGAATCTCATTAGCCTGTTCAAGGTGTTTGGCTGTCCATGACGGACCCCATTATTTGCAGCGCGCTTGCGACCTATTTGCGAGACAATTCCGTCGCCCAGAGCGTTCCAAAACAAGACATGGTACACTACTTTTCAGATGGTTCGTGGTTGTCCAGTCTACAAGTGTTTGAATTTTCCTCCCACGCAATTATCAATTGACGGTTACCTGGGCGAATATTCTGACACCGCACCGTGCCAAGCACGATATTGCATTCATTCTCACACAGTGAATTTCAATCAACCAATTGTCACCAAAACTGCAATGTCACTGTCCCTCTCTGATTGGTTCAAACCTACAAACTCAATGTGCCCATAATCCAGCGACAGGCTTTTGACCATCACCATATGGAACTATCACCATATGGAACTAGAAATATATGTTTACTTTTACTTTTTGGATTTGATTCGCTTGATCTTTCGTGATCTAGCTGTCATCGCTGACGCTTGATTTCTATCTACGCCGAAAAAAGGCTCCTTTGCCTCTTCGGAAGAAGCCAAGAAAAATCAAACGCTTCGGCTTGTTGGGGAAGCCGAGCTTGCGTGGTGCATCATCTACCAGATGATGCGTAAGCTCGAAGGACCATTGCTCTTTCTTGCCTTGTTAACCTCCTTGTTGCCCCGAAAGCCCAAAAGTAGGGAAAGAGAGAAAAAGACAACTCCGCCTGATGCAATTTTCACAGTTGATCCATGAGAATCGTCCCTTTCCTTGCCAAGATCCCCCAAATTTCCCCAATCCTCCTTGCCCGCTGATGAAGTAAAAAAATAATGATCCTGACCCGACGCCTTGGACAATGCAATGCTTAATAAAATGAGTTGAAAGATCTATCCTCGGGGTATTGTCCCCGAGGAGTGTATGGTGGAAATGGTGGCTGGTTCATTCGATTCCCAAGCCTCTAGTTCGGGAAAGGTCCCTGCGGCAGACCATGGGGCATGTGCGGCATGTGAGCGCTCATTCTGTAGGGCGCATGCATGAATTCAGGAACTACGCCGGTTCGCAGGTCGTTGCGCCGCCCGAGAGGTTGGTAGTGCATCTGTGTCGTAGGCAGATGATACTCGTTGAGAGAAGCCGACGGCGGAGGGTAAAGTAGTGTGTTGACATGACGAATAGGCTTGTACGGGCTGGGTCGCTGTTGAAGATAAACGCTGGGCGAGTGTGACATGGGCGTATGTGAGATCGGG